AAGAACAATAGAAACCCGTTTCCTNATACTTCTTTCATTCGACATACTTTTTTTTAAAATCGGACCATTTCCCTTTATACAGGGGGGGTGCAAACCTTTTAAAATGCGTATAGAAAGTAGAACTTTTTCAACTTAACTTTTGAAAATGTTCCGGAAAGATTGACACTTTTATATATATCTTAAATTAAAGCTAATGTAATATACTTTAATTTGAAAAAAAAAAATTTGACATCTGGATTTGTTTTCATGGTAAAAATAACTATCGTATTCAAAAATATGCTACTTTTGTGTTAAAATTCTGGGTTTTGTATTTTATTTTATTTTAAAATACCTGACAAGGGGAGTACAGATTTTCATAAATATTATATAAATTAAAATTGATATAGTATAGATAGTTAAACTTATTTAAATATGTTTGTTTCTTTTAAGTCGAGAAAAATAACTTTGAAATTTGAACTAGCTTAAATAGCCAATTTTTCAACCGCCGGAAGCAACGTACGGTTGCCGAGTTGGTAAAATTTATGTTTTACACGCTTGGGGTACGAGGTTCCAACCCGCATATGGCAATGAATTTTTTGCATTTTTTCTTAATTCTTTTTAAGTTAGTATAAATTTTAACTCGTTTGATTTTTATCACATTTAGATTCAATAACTTCAATAAAGATCAAGGATCCCATCACTTTAGTCGCCCCTTGCAAGAAGAAATTTCTTATTCGTATTAAAATTATTTTACTATATTTTAAGTTTTCGCTTCGATGCAAAGCCGAGAAGATATTTTTTTGTGACTATCATTTATTTTCTCTGCTCTAACTTGACCTACTTTTTTCAACGATACGTCCAATTACTACAATTCGTTATCTAGTTGAAGATATTACCCTCAAAAATTTAAAAAAAATTTCAATTTATCAATTAAACAGTTAGTTATTCCATGTTCTCAATAAAGACAATTCAAACCATTAATTTGTAATGTTTTCAAAATATTTATTAACGAATGAAGTTTGATATGATAGGTTTCAACTACAAAATTAAATCATTTTACTTTGTAATTTAATAATTTTATTACTCTGTTTGTGTGTGCTACTATTAGACTATAATATTCAAATTTTTTTCTAACGTGTTGCTATATAAATCATTTCTAAAAAAAATGATTGTTTTTTCTCCTGAATTAACAATTGATTTTTACAAATATAATCAAATTTTATAATAAACTCAATTGAGTAAATCTTTTTAACAACTTTGTTTTGATTGGTACATTTAGTTAAAGTAAATCATTAAAATTAATTAAGTTCTCAATATTTCAATTATAGAATCTTTTCAACAAACAACAAAAGTTCCTAGGAAATTATTACTATTACTTCTATTTAAGTTATCTATTACCATAAAAATGCAAAAAAATATTGAGCTTTTCTGATAAATTTACAATAAATAGTAATTATAAAACTTTCTGACTGCATATTGATCTTAACGATACAATTTTTTTAATTGTCATAAAATTTTCTATTTAATTATGTCAATGTCAAACTTACCAATTGAGCTAAAAGTTATGGTAAACATTTACATTATAAACATTTACAACAATCAACTTTAAACGATTAAAAAAATAGGTTAAATATGTCATTTTCTTTATTTTTAGCATATTAATAATCAAAACCAGCATTAACTTAAAACAATTTTTTTGTGCTTAATTATTTTTAGCTTTTTTTATATGTAAATTCTATTTTATAATAATATTAAAACTTAGAAGTGATAGAAAAAGTCTAAATGCCCGGCGCCGCGTTCCTCGTCGAGCAGGTTGGCGGGCGGCAGTGACGACAGGATACCCGCCGTCACTCCGGACACCGTTCGGTACGCCGAAACTGTCCGGATCGCCGCCCGCCTCTGCACCCTGAGCAGGGCTTCACGGTTTTTGGACGAATACTCAAGAGTATCCG